ACACACACACACACACACACACACACACACACACACACACACACGAACAACACAGCATTAATGTTTTTCATCTATGGTCTCAAAATAGCTTCCAGGCTCAAATGAGTGAGAGAAAGATTTTTTATAAAGGTATTATTCTAAATCCCTGTACAGGATTTATTTCATGGTGATATTATAAGTCACTTCCCTTTGCCCCACAACATTATGCAGTTCCAAATGTGGAGACTTAGGTAATCAGTCACAGCTTGTGACATGCGGGTGAAAAACCAGATGGCAGTCTTGGCTTGTAACATGACATGAAATACTGCCAGAAGACAAATCAGTTAATTTAATCAGTTGTTATGACTATCAGTTTAGTTCATGTACTGTATGACTATGCATGATTGACAACAACAACCATCATTTTTTTGCTGCCATGAGACTGATCATATTGACTGACACTGACACAATAGATACATCACTATCTGAAATGCTTGCAACAATATTAAAAGTATAGTTCACCCCAAAAATTACATTTCTGTCATCATTTACTCGCCCTCAAGCTGTTCCAAACCTGTATGAGTTTCATTCCTCGGCTGAACCTAAAAGAAGATAGTTTGAAGAATGTTGGTAACCAAACAGTTGATGGTCTCCATTGACGTCCATAGGATTTGTTTCCGTACTATGGAGGTCAGTGGGGACCAGCAGTTGTTTGGTTACCCATATTGTTCAAAATATCTTCCTTTGTGTTCAACAGAAGAAACAAACTCATAAAGGTTTGAAACAGCTTGATGGCAAGTAAATGATGACAGAATATTCATTTTTGGGGTGAACGATCCCTTTAACCAGACATAGAAATCACTGTCTGCTGGTAGCAAAATGGCAACTCAAGTAAATTAATAATGAATTGGTTTGAAGGTACAGGTATGGAGTAGAAAAATAAATTAAAATAAAAATGTCATGGCCTACAATCATCTTCATGCTAAAAGTTCTCGATGACAACAGAGAAAATTAGGACAATTATAACTGAGAACTCCTAGAACAATTAAAATGAGATCAGAGGAAAAAGACACACACACACACACACATTATTTTGGACTCCATATCAATTGAAAAACTGCATAGAAAATTGGTGCTTGCAAATGAACTAGTAAAATACATTTATCACAATACAGCAGACTTACTATTTAAAAGAACTGCAAGAACTGCTGACAAACTTACAGACTTCAACAGTGGAGTCATTCAGGTTCCTGGGCACCACCATCTCTCAGGACCTGAAGTGGGACACTCACATAGACTCCATTGTCCAAAAGGCCCAGCAGAGGTTGTACTTCCTTCGCCAGCTGAGGAAATTCAACCTGCCACAGGAGCTGCTGAAACAGTTCTACTCTGCCATCATTGAGTCTGTCCTGTGTTCATCCATAACTGTCTGGTTCAGCTCAGCTACCAAATCTGACATCAAGAGACTACAGCGCACAGTCTGGTCTGCCGAGAGGATTATCGGTGCCCCTCTGCCCAACCTCCAAGATCTTTACACCTCCAAAGTGATAATAAGGGCTAAGAAAATCACTTTGGACCCCTCACACCCAGCCCACTCTCTCTCTGAGCTGTTGCCTTCTGCTCGCCGCTGGAGAGCACCGACCACCAGAACAGCCAGGCACAAGAACAGGCTATATTCAGCCTGAACAATTACAACTTTCATAACCTAGTCCATCATTACTGACACATTTATACATAGCAACTGAAAATTGTACATTTGTAAATGACATAAACTTGTAACATATCTGTACATTCATTAAAACAATTACATAGGTTTTCTCTCTATATTTATACTCCTATATTATATTGCATTATTTGTTTTTCTTACATAAGTGTTATATTTCATCACTACTGTGTAATTCCTATATATATATATATATATATATGTCTGCACTATCTGTACTTTCTTCTGCACTGGAAGCTCCTGCCGCCAAAACAAACTTCTCGTGTGTGTAAACATAACTTTGCAATAAAGCTGTAAAATGTGAGTAGACATTATACACCACGGTTCACTATCATCAGCAACCAGCATCACCCGCAGTTACCAATAAAAACAAGAGCAGTCACATCCGACCCAAACCGTTCATCCTCAACAGAAGAGACTATTCAGATATATTCTTCTCTGACGCGGCCTATAATGAATATCAATAGCTGCACATATGGCAATAAGTAACTATTCCCCCGCGTGTTTAAGCGTGCTGTCTGTCTGAGATAGAACTACATTATCCGGGAGCCAGCGAGCGCAGCCAATGGGCGTCAAGAACACGAGGTGACGAGGAACTTGATCTGCGCCGAAGCGAGAAAACGGCGCGAGGCGAGCTTTGCCGTCAAACCTGGGTCTTTTTGTCTGAAGGTAGGTGTGCCTGCACTGTTATGGTGAAGTTGTTTTGTTAATCTGTTAATTTGTGCGACTTTTCTGTATGCCTAGGATTATTGGAGTGCAGTAGGTTTATATATTTCTGTGACATGCATGTCATATATTAAGTGATAATGGAGGCTTGCCTGCTTATAGTTATAGTGTACACAGTGCGATGTTTAAGTCTTAATTTATGTCACATGTAAGTAACATCTCGTTAGTAATAGTATAATCTGATAAATATCGCAAAGTCACGAAATCTGACCTATAATACGATAAGATGCCGCATGCATTTGAATGCCATGGTCTTGATATACTTTTTGCCACTATGATTGTTGCATTCATAATGCATTGTGCTGCACGAATGCCGTGTTTATGTGCCCTTAATATGCATCTGCATTAAATCGGACCGTTGCAGGTTGGAGTGCAGCGCGAACGGTCAGATTGCATGATGTTTTTGTAGCGTGCATGAGTTATCATGGAGAAGAGCAGGGCGAAGCTGAGCGCGCGGCGTCTTTGTTTGTCTCTGACTGTAATAAAAGCGCATTTTGTCTCTCCACAAAATGCACGTAAATATTGTGGCTCATTCTACAGCAGCAACACGTAAAAATCGCACACTTAGTATAACGACAGAGTATAGAACTTTTTTTCCCTCCTCCCCAAAGTCTGTGGTTTTAACACGTGCAGGTGGAGTGTTTAGGGGAGGGGGTCACGTGTGTGTTTGTGAAGAATACGCGCCAGTTTTTTTCCCCGCGAAGCTGTAGCAAACATTTGCGCGCTAAATTCACAACATGTCGTCATCTCAAATTTTTTTAATTGGTTGGCTGTAGTCTGGGGACCCAGTTTTCGGAAAAAAGTGACAAAACCTCCTATTGGGGCACATCAGGACCCTCGTCAATTGAGAAAAAACCATCACCAAAAAATTTATTTATTTATTTTTTTTTTTTCTTCTTAAAAAAAAAAAGTGTGTGTGTGTGTACTGGTTTATATAACCTGGTGGGGACTTAAACCTGACTACACACAGACTCATGGGTACTCGTGTCATGGTGGGGACCTAAATTGTGGTCCCCACGGGTACAAAAGCTTATAAATCATACAGAATTAAGTTTTTTGAAAATCTAAAAATGCAGAAAGTTTTCTGTAAGGGGTAGGTTTAGGGGTAGGGTTGGTGTAGGGCAATAGAATATACGGTCTGTACAGTAGAAAAACCATTACGCCTATGGAGAGTCCACACATTGTGCAGTATGGCAAGGATTATGTGTATATTATTGAGTAAACAAGATGTACAGCAGTATTGTATGGAACACTAATGTCGCTGATTTGGTTTTTTAGGCATACGTCGATCCTCTAGTCTTTTACAACAATGGCCTCTTCAAGTGGTAAGACCTGTATTTATACGTGTGTAAGACAGGCACGTGACCGGATCTGGATATATTTGTAGTAGTTGAGGCAGAGATCGTCCCTGAATATTGCAGTTAACAAGTGAAGCTTGTTTTCAGATATTTACGTTAAGGAGCTGGACAAGCGTGCCTCAGGACAAGCTTTTGAGGTCATCCTTGGGAGTCCTGCTCCAGATGCCAAGGCTGAGTTCCCTCTCTCTCCTCCTCTGAAGAAGGACCTTTCCTTGGAGGAGATCCAGAGAAAACTAGCCGCTGCAAAAGAGAGACGCAAGGTGCATA